GCGGGGCGCCGACGCCTGCGACCCCGGCTGCCCGGGAGGGACGGAGACCTGGGGGATCCGGGTTCGAAGCCCACCGGGCCGTGGCGGCTGGGGGAGATGCCTTTCCCGCCAAAAAGCATAAAACGGGGGGTGGGTGCTGCAGGGATTGTGGCTCAGTGGTGAGAGTGCGTGCATGAAGCAGAAGCAGCTCGGGGACGGGGTTGGGAAGGTGGCTCAGTGGTAGAGCGCTTGCCTTGCATGCCTGAGGCCCTGGGTTCGATTCCTCAGCACCACAGAAGCAAAAAGAAAAAAAAAGCCGGAAGTGGTGCTGTGGCCCAAGTGGTAGAGCGCTCGCCTTGAGCTGAAGAGCTGAGGGACAGCGCCCAGGCCCAGAGTTCAAGCCCCAGGACTGGACCCGAAAAAAGGGGGGGTGGGGGAAGGTACCCACAGGTGTGGTCAGCCCTCGGGTCTCCTGAATCAGATCAGGGGATTGATCTCAAGGGGGAAAGTGAGGATGGGTCTCTCCCCAGCTGGGTGTGTGGTGTGTGTATGTGTGTGTGTGCGTGCGTGCGTGTGTGTGTGCGTGCGCTTGGAGGAGACTTCATGGGGTTGGATTTTTTTGTTTTGTTGACCATGGAGCTTGAACTCTGGACCTGGAGCGCTCTACCACTTGAGCCACTTCCAGTTTTCTGGTGGTTCATTGGAGATCAGAGTCTCACAGACTTTCCTGCCCGGACTGGCTTTGAACTGCAATCCTCAGATCTCAGCCTCCTGAGTAGCTAGGATGGCACCTGGCATGGAGTTGGACTTCATGTGGGCCCGGTGTGTGTGTGTGGGGGGGGGTGGGAGGCAGTCCTGGGGGCTCACCTGGTTGTAGGCTGCCTCCCCTGCACGCTGGAAGGTCCACTCCACGCGGGCCTGCAGAGAGCGGGGCTCACACTCCAGAAACGCGCTGCCGCCCTCCACGCCGAAGACCTTCTGCTCCAGAAGCGTGGGGCGAGAAGAATCTTGAGACAAGGGAAATGTCAAATTTGGGCAGGGCAGGGCAGGGCAAAGGCATCTTCAGGGACTGAGGCTTTGGGGAGCAGATGAGCTACTCACCCCCGGAACACAGAGTTCTGGGGTCACCGTGTCTTACATCTTGTCGCCGGAAACGCCTACGATTGGTGGTGGTGGTGGGGGAAACAGGACATTAGGATGGCTGAGTCCCTTCCCCCACTGTTGTTAAGGGTGGCCAGCAGAAGGATTCCCACCGCACCCACCTCTTGGCAGTAGGCTGGAAGCGAGTGCATGCCACCCCGTCCCACGCACAATAAGGATCACGGGCCAGGCAGCATTCCGCACAGACGCGGCCGTGGGCAGCACAGCGGTGCAAGGCGATCTGGGCCACGGCGCTCCGGGAGGCTGCATACAACTGTTGCTAGAAGACAGAAGAGGCTCCAGGCTGATGGTACCCGCCTCCTGCCCACCAGACATCCAATCCCCATGCTTAACGGGGATGTCTCACCTTCCCAAGCCACGGCCAAGGCCAGCCTGGCACTGGTGACTCACGCCTGTAATTCTAGCTACCTCAGGAGGCTGAGAGCTGAGGATCGTGGTTCAAAGCCAGCCTGGGGTGGCAAAATCTGTGAGTGTCTTAACTTCAGTTAGCCACCAAAAAAAATAATCTGGCAATGGAGTTGTGGCTCAGGTAGTAGAGTGCTAGCCTTGAGCTCAAAATCTCAAGGATAGTGCCCAGGTCCTGAGTTCAAATCTAGGACTGCCTTCTTCCCCCACCCCAAACCTGGGGGCTGATAACTATCAAGGCTGAGATGGTTAGAGTTTCTGGGATACAAATTCAGTCCATCCCACCCTCTGGACTTCTTTTTGGTTCCTCACCCTCTTGGAGGAGATTTGCAGGCTGGTAACTGCGGCTGAGTCCTGAGAGGGAGCAAGAAAGGAAGATGGAATAGGTGCTTACTTAGCTTTGTGCATGGGGGTGGGGGTTGGGGGGGATGTTGGTGACTAGCGGTGAGTCCTCACCTCAAACACATGCAGCTCCTCTAAGAGCAGACCCTCCGAGCTAGACCAGCTGCCCTTGGGGACTGAGATTACCTTCAATATTGTACCCACATCTGCAGGGAGGAGAAGGGAGAGAGAGAGAGAGAGAGTGGCTATTGGCTTCAAACTGACAAATCTGTCAGGGACAGGAGTCTCCTGCTTCACCCTCTGTCCCTGGTTGGGTCATAAAGAGGCAGAGTGTGCACTGGAACAATCAGGGAGCTGGGCACCGGTGGCTCACGCCTGTCATCCTACCTATTCAGGAGGCTGAGATCTGAGGGTCGTGGTTCAAAGCCAGCCAGGGCAGAAAAGACCCGATGAGACTCTTATCTCCAATGAACCATGTAAAAACTGGAAGTGGAGCTGTGCCTCAAGTGGTAAAGTGCTAGCCTTGAGTACAAAGAGGCTCAGGGACTAACAAAGCCCCAGGACTAACAAAGAGAGAGAGACACACACACAGACAGAGAGAAAAGAAGAAAGGAAGGCAGGCCAGAGTCTAGACAAAGATGCAGGGATGAGACTGAACAGGACTAGTGCCTTTGGTGTAAGGAGCCATGATGGTGTCCTGTGGGTGGCTGTGTGCGCGTGTGAACACTGACCTGTGCCAATGAAGAGGACATCATAGTGTCCATCGGCAGCTGCTACGCGGTCTACAGCGAGCTGGGTGAACGTATACCCAGCTCCCACTTGTAAGAAGAGAGGGCGCCCCCCCATGGGCAGGATTGAGTTGTACATGAGAGGGTGGTTCCGGGCAAACTGGATGACGTCTTCAGGAAAGTCCTTGGTGGAACTGAAGGTGCCGAAGGTCTTACTGGGACACTAGAGAGGGCAGGGAGTAAGTGGGAACACGGTCAGGGGAGACGGGTGGGTAGCCCTCCATTCTAGGTCTTTGGGATCATGGGAGGCAGCAGGAGACAGGGAAGTGCCTTAAAGATTTCAGGCTTGGGCTGGGAAGGTGGCTTAGTGGTAGAGTGCTTGCCTAGCATGCATGAAGCTCTGGGTTCCATTCCTCAGTTCCACATACACAGAAAAAGCTGGAAGTAGCACTGTGGCTTAAGTGGTAGAGTGCTAGCCTTGAGCAAAAGAAGCTCAGGGACAGTGTCCAGGCCCTGAGTTCAAACCCCAGAACCAGCACACACACACACACACACACACACACACACAGAGGAAACCATAAACCAAGGAGACCCCAGGTCAAGTTCTCTACCCTTGAGATGTGAAGTGAGTTGAGGCAGGGGTCCCCTAGCAACGCACCATGCCAGGCCGGGGGTAAGGGACACGGCCCTGGTAAGACACCCACTGGTGTGTGGGCCCCTCCTTGTGTGCAAAGGGCCCCAGGAAAGCGCGGCGAATATCGTTCATGCTGTAGACACACACGGCAGAGCCCTGAAAGATGCCACTGTGGAAAATGACAGGAGTGGAATGAGGCGGACCCAAGGAGGCCAGCTGGTTGTCCCTGGGGAGGGGGTGTCCCCCACCTCCAGCCCCTCACCTGGAGGTGGAGAAGACAGCATAGAGCAGTGGGGTCTGTCGGTCCCTGGAGGACAGCAGGAATACATCCTCTGCAGGGAGAAGTTCTCGTTGAGGGGAGGGCCGAGGGGGGCGAGGACAGCCCTGGCTCAGCGAGGTTCCTGACCCCCTCCTTCCTCCCACCCTCTGCTCAAGGCACTCACGAAGCTGATCGAAGTGGGTGTCACCATCAGCCCCAGATATGGAGCACACTAGCCTTGCCTTCAGGAATGTTGTCCACTTGTTGACCAAGCTGCGTTGGCCACCCATGTCATTCTGCCAGGAAAAAGAGATCCCAGGGGATAAGAGGAGGGTGTCAGCTGGGCACTGGTGGCTCATGACTGTTAATCCTAGCTGTTCAGGAGGCTGAGGTCTGAGGATCATGGTTCAAAGCCAGCCCAGGCAGGAAAGTCTGTGAGACTTAGATCTAATAAACCACCAGAAAACTGGAAATAGTGCTGTGGCTCAAATCGTAGAGACTTAGCCTTGAGCTGAAGAGCTGAGGGACAGTGCCCAGGCCCAGAGTTCAAACCCCATGACCAACAAAGAAGAGGGAGGAGGAGGAGGAGGAGGAGGTGTCCAGTGAACAAAGGGGCAGAGGGCAAGCTCTCTCCAGGAATGAGACTCCCTTACCCTGCAGATCTGACCAACTCGAGACACAGTCAGGCGTCCCATTGCAGGGGCTGATTCTACGGCAGATTCGTGGAAGAAGAAGTAGATTTTATCATCATCGGGGTTCTCGCTTTCTGGGATCCAAAAGACCTTGACAAACTTGGGTTCTAGTCACAACAGGCAACATCAGAGAAGCAGGCATTAGTTCTCTTCCCCACATGGAACCCACATGCAAGATGACCACAAAGTGGCCAGCTACATGGGTGCAGACCCTAACAACCAGCCTCTAGTACTGAATTCCTAAGATCAGCCTGCAATATGCAAAGGAAGCCACGAGGTGGCAACACAGAGCGTCACTGCCTCACACTGGCTGAATCCATAAGATCAGATTGCAATGCATAAAAGATGCCACAAGGTGGCAGCACTGAACGTAGCTTTCTGAACTCACTGGCAGCATCTAACCACATGCCTCCCCTATTGAATCCATAAGACTAGGCTGCAATTAATAAAACATGCCACAAGGTGGCAGCACAGACCATGGCCACCTCATACTGGCAGCTACAAGGGAGGACCCTCAAAGCACCAGCCTTCAGTACTAAATCCATAAGATCAGGCTGCAATGCATAAAAGAAACCACAAGGTGGCAGCACAGACCACGGCTTTCTGAACTCACTGGCAGCCTCTAACCACCAGTCTCCAGTACTGAATCCATAGGCTCAGACTGTAATGCATAAAACATGCCACGAGGTGGCAGCACAGACCATGGATACCTCATACTGGCCTCTACAGAGAAGCAGCCTCTAATCACCAGCCTCCAGTACTGAAGCCGTAAAATAGGACAGCAATGCATAAAAGAAGCCATGAGATGGAAGCATAGACTATGGCTATCTGAACTCACACTGGTTGGTGCCCAGGTGCAGGGCAGGGGGTCCTGTCCTGGACATTGAGGACAGGGGTGGTATGGACAGTTCATGCCCAAGGGGTCTCCTACATAGGGATCTTTGTGGGCCAGGCCCATGCCAGGCCCCAAGGCGCATGTCCACCCGCCTCTCCTCATTCACGGGCACATCAAAGAGGTAATTGTGGCTGCTGAGGCAGAGACGGGACATGGAGTGGTGCCCAAAGCACCACCCTGGCAGGGACTGGGGCTCACTGAGGAGGGCAAGCAGGCCCAGGTGTAGTTGCTGTGAAAAAGAATGACCACTATGTGTGCGTGCTGTGCCACAAGACCTTAAAGTCGGTGAGCCTGGGGCTGAAGGCTGGTGTGGCCCACAGCTGCCCTGCCCAGCCATACAGTGGCAATACAGACCTTGTCTATCTGAACTCATTGGCAGCCTCTAACCACCAGCCTGAATCCCTATGATCAGACTGCAATGCACAAAACATGCCACAAGGTGGCAGCACTGACCATCTCTGCCTGACACTGGCAGCTATGTGGAGGAAACCTCTAACCAACCAACCTCCAATCCACAAGCTCAGACTGCTGTTTACAACAGGAGCCACGAGGTGGCAGCACAGACCATGGTTTTCTGAACTCACTGGCGGCATCTAACTTCCAGATCCGAGTGCAATGAATCAAACATGCCACGAGGTGGCAGCACAGAGCATCTCTGGCTCACACTTGGGAGGTCCTGGGAACAGTATCTAATTACTAGCTTCCAGTACAGAATCCATAAGATCAGATTGCAATGCATAAAGAAGCCACAGGGCCAGGTGCTGGTGGCTCATGCCTGTAATCCTAGTTATTTGGGAGGCTGAAAACAGGATCTCAGTTCAAAGCCAGCCCAGGCAAAGAAAGTCCGTGAGACTCATCTCCAAGTAATCACCAGAAAAACAAAAGTGGCGCTGTGGCTCAAGTGGTAGAGTGCTAGCCTTGAGATGAGCTCAGGGACAGCGCCAAGGCCAATTTCAAGCCCCATGACTGACAAAAAAATAAAATAAAATAAAAAAGAAGCCACAAGGCGGCAGCACAGACCACAGATCTCAACTCACACTGGCAGCCTCTAACCACCAGCCTTCTGTACTGAATCCATATGATCAGACTGCAATGCCTAAGACATGCCACAAGGCGGCAGTACAAACTATCACTACTTCACTGGCAGCTTCGTGGGGCACCACTATCCACCAATACTGAGTCCATTTCAGTGTAATGCATAGACCATGCCACGAGGTGGCAGCACAGAACATCACCTCATACTGGCAGCTACCTGGAAATAGCCTCTAATTTCCAGCCTCCAGTACTGAATCTCTAAGATCAGACTGCAATGCACAAAATATGCCACAAGGGGGCGACACGGACCACAGTTATCTGAACTCACTGGCAGCCTCTAACCCCCAGCCTCTAGTACTGAATTCGTAAGATCAGAGTGTAATACATGAACAATGCCACAAGTTGGCATCACAGACCATGGCTACCTCACACTGGCAGCTACAGGCGAGCAGCCTCTAATCACCAGCCTCTAGCACTAATCCATGAGATCACATTGAAATACATAAAATAAACTATAAGTTGAAAACATAGACCTTAGCTATCTGAACTCACATTGGCAGCCTCTAACCACTAGCCTCCAGTACTGAATCCATTTGATAAAACATGGATAAAACATGCCACGAGGTGGCAGCACAGAGCATCTCCATTTCACACTGAGAGCTATGTGGAGGCAGCTTCCAATACTGATTCTCTAAGATCCAACTGTGATGCACAAAACATACCACGAAGTGGCAGCACAGAACATCTTCCACATACTGGCAGCTACCAATTACCAGCCAGTACTAAGATCGGATTGCAATGCATAAAGGAAGCCACAAGGTGGCACCACAGACTATGGCTATCAGAGCTCACACTTGGCAGCCTCTAATCACCAGCCTCCAGTACTGAATCCATATAATCAAACTGCAATGCACAAACATACCACAAGGTGGCAGTACAAACCAACATTACTTTAGCTGCTAAGTGGGGCAGCCTCTAACCACTAGCCTCCAGTACTGAATCCTGAAGATCAGGTTGCAATGCATAAAAGAAGCCACAAGATGGCAGCACAGAACATGGTTAGCTTAACTCACTGGGAGCCTCTAACCACCAGCCTCCAGTACTGAAGCGGGAAGATCAGATTGCAATGTACAAAATTAGCCACGAGGTGGCAGTAGAGACCATGGCTACCTGAACACCCAGGCTGGAACCTGAGCTTTCTAACCTTGGCCCCTTTCTTCCTCAGACTAAGGAGGGAAATGAGGCATTTGGTTTCGCCTCCATTCATACATCTTCCTCCCAAACTGACTAGGAGTTCCTTGATCTGGCTTCAAATCCTCCTGGCTGGGTCCCATGCACTTAAATTACTCCAGTCTCTGACAGCTCGATCCATTATCATTGCTAAGCTTGAGTTTGCTTCTGTTCTTGCTTTAGGACCTTTGAACTACTTGTTCTTTCTGCCTGGGATGTTCTACTCTTGATTCAGGATTTATTTATTTGCTTGTTTGCTTATTGTATTGTTGTCCTGATGTTGATGCTTCAACTCAGCGCATGTGGGTAGCCTCAGTTTTTTTCTGAGTGCTCAAGGCAAGCACTCTACCATTTGAGCCACAGCTCCACTTCTGGCTTTTTGCTGGTTAAAATTGGAGATATGAGTCTCATGGACTTTCCTGACCTGGCTGGCTTTGAACCATGATCCTCCGATCTCAGCCTCCTGGGGGTAGCTAGGATTATAGGCATGAGCTTTGAGCACTTGCCTTTCAATTCTGGTTTTCTTGTGGTCTCTGGGAACTCAAATCTCCTCTCAATAGGATGACTTGCTTTCCCCAACACATCTCTTTTTCCTTTTCTCTCCGTTCTCTCATTGTTTTCACAGCCCCTGACTCGAATCATATTTTGTCTTTGTTCTGAGATGTGTGAAGTTGGGGTAGAGGCTGCACCTGTCTGTCCCTGTAACCTCCCCCCCCATACCCAGTGCCTGGCTCAGGGTGGGATTATAGGAGCTACTTGGTGGGAGGTCTCTGTTGCTCACGTTACCACTGCTTGGCCCCTCTCCAAGGTGGGAAGATGGCTGCCCCCCCCCCCATAGGACCCACCAGTCTCTCACCGTTGAGCCAGCGAGAATCATGGGGCTCTGTTCGGAGACTCGGACGCTGGCCCAGGCTGCGAAAGATGGTAAAGTCCCGGCCCATGAGGTCTGCTGCCACCCCTGAATACAGCTCTTCCCCTGTGGACAGGGCACGCGCTGCTCAGCCAAGCTGAGGGGTGCTTCTTGGGGGGGGGCGGAGGAGCTCTAGGGAATCAATAAAGATGATAGGGGATCCCTGGGAACTCTTGGGAAGGTTCTGGAGTCTGTAAGGCATTCTGGGAGTTCTATGGAGGAGCACGGGGGGGAGGGGTCCCCAGCCTGGAGACTTACCCACCAATACGGATGCAGCCCTGTGCCTTGGGTCGTAAGGACTCTTGCCCTTGCCATCTTCAAACCTGCTTTCTAGCCGGAGCATGGGTTCCTGGGAGGCAGCGAATCATGAATGCCAGGCTTTCCTTCATCCTCCGAGTCCCACCCCCCTCCGCACCAAGACCTGGCCTCACCTCCAGCCGGTGGCCCGCCTCCACGAAGGCACAGGTTGGGTGGAAAGCCCCAGTGCCACAGGCCAGCAAGTGCGTGTGGTTATAGGCGTGCAGCAACTTCACGAAGTTCATGCACTCCGTCTAGAGGGGGCAGTCAGGGGCCGTGGTAATGTGGCTTCCCCTGGGCGAGGCAGCCTGAGAACATTCCAGTACACCAAGCGCATCCCATCCCTGATCTTTTCTTTTTGGGCAGGGCCTGGGGCTTGAACTCAGGGTCTGCGAGTTGTCCCTGAGCTTTCTTTTTGCTCCAGACAGATGCTCCACCACTTGAGCCACAGCTCCACATCTGGCTTTTTGAGTGGTTCATTGGAGGTAAGAGTCTCACAGACTTTCCTGCCGGGGCTGGCTTCAAATCGTGATCCTCAGATCTCAGCCTCCTGAGTAGCTGGGATGACAGGCGGGAGCCACTGGTGCCTGGCTTCATCAGCTCAGGCAAATACTAATACTAATACTGAAGGCCTTGTGTGACCAGCCGAGCCCTCATAGGGCAAACCTGGGAGGGGTATGGACCTGCACAATCTCCCCCTCCCCTGTCCCCCCCCATGACTCAGAAGCACCCAAGAAGAATCACATGGGCCTCCACCCTGACTCACCACCTCCAGACCTCAGCCACCTCGACCTCCCTGCCCTTACCCCCAGCCAGAACAGGCAAGCCTCTGTCTCCGCTCTGCTCTGTGTCTGGGGTGAGGGGCTGATCCCCCCCTCTTCCTCACCCCCCCCAGCACTCACGCTAATGTCCTTTCCAGCCCAATTACACTCTTCTCTCCACTCCACAGGGGCGGGCCAGGCCAGCTGGAGGGGACAACGGGGTAGAGGCAGATGCAGGTTAGTGACCTCATAGTCTGGATCCTGGGGTTCCCCCTCCCCATTCCAGGAAGCCAGCCCTTTGGGTCTGTCTAGGCAGCCTGGAGTTGCCTCCTATGGCTGAGATTCAGGGGTCCCCTGCACCTTCTTGGCCCGCTTGCTAATGTCGTCCAGGCTCAGGGAGGCCACGTGGTTCTCGGCCCCCACGAACAAACGTCCGCGCTCTTCATCCACCAGCAAAGCATCATAACAGCAGGTCCGCTCCAGCCGAAAGGTCCGGAGACCATGCCAGGTCTGGAGCTCTGCAGGGGACAGGGAGACGGGGGGGGGGGGGGG